GGGCTGGCCCCCCTTTCGGTATTTCTGATTCATTGTCTTACATTTTTTTGTGGTGTATTACATTTGAGTATTAGGTTATTTAATTGTTTACTTTTCTTATAACTCGTTGTTTTCATAATTCTGTCATTTCAATTTGATAGAAAATAATCATTTGTTTTAGAAGTGTACCTAGACTTAAATATCTCAAGACTCATAGCAAAAATGTCCCCCCCAGTCCTGTTCCCCAGAGGTAACCATTTTCTAGTCTTTTGGTTGTTGCGCCTCTTTTTGGTCTCTCCATGATAATGTTTATGTTGCTGTTTCTAGAGCAGATTTACACCTTGACCGGCTTTCTACTTTGGTGGATTAAGAGTTGCCTCTTTGAGAGGTTGTTTGTTTTTTTTTTTTCAAGGCCAAGCTAACTCATACATCTTCCAAATGAATATGGTGCTCCCTTTGACAGCATGTTGGACTGTATCCTTTTTGGTTTAGGAACGGTCGATGCAGACTTCCTCTATAAGGTGGCATAGTATCTAAAGTAGCTCACTCAGTTTTGAGTAGCCCTGCTGGCATCGTGGATGACAGGTTGCACTTTGAACTGCAGCTGCTCCCACGGGAGAAAGAGGCTTTCAATTGGTGTAGAATGTAGAGTTTTCGTCTCGGAAACGCAAAGGGGCAGTTCTGTGCTGTCCTATGGCTAGGAGTTGACATTGAGATTCAGGTGGCAGTGAGATTCAGCATTGCTCCTGTGTTTCCCATTTCTGTGTGTAGGTGTCCTTATCACCTCATACTTGTCTACTGGATTGCCTCGATCCCAATTGTGAGTGCAGGTACCAGTTGTCGTGCGTTGTCAGTTAATTCTGCCACGAGCGAGCGCTGAGAAGCATGTGCCCCGCTTGTTTTACAGATCAAGAAGCGGAAGCCCCGAGCGATAGCTTGTCCATTTGGAGTCCCATAGCTAGCTAGTTCCTGAAAGGGGATTTGGGTCCCCATCAGTTTGACTGAAAAACCCGCCTATCTCTCTGTTCGCTCTTTTAACTTTTTAATTGAAGCACAGTGTACACACCGAAGAACACAAATCATAAGTGTAGCACCAGTTAATTATCACACTGAAACACATGTAAGCACTACTAAGTAAGGGGGGGAAAGGAGTTTAAGGGTACCGGTGAGGACATCCTGTTACCTGTCAGTTACCACTCCCCCGCACCCTACAGGTAACCATTATCGGGACTGCTGACACCAGAGATTTGTTTGCTACAAGTGATGTCAGTTTTTTAATTAATTTTATTGTTGTTGGACTGCTAATTGCAAGGTTGGCAGTTTGAAACCACAAGACATAGAAGAAAGACGAGGCTTTCTACTCCTGGATAGAATCCGTTTTGGAAACTCATAGGGTCAGTTCGACCTTGCCTTGTAGGGTCACTGTAAGTCAGAATCTATTGCAGTGAGTTTGAGGGGTTTTGTTAGTTTGTTTTACGGTGGGGTTTTTTTGTCATTGTTTTGCATATCCTAATACCATTTTTTCTTTGAAGAGGCCAGTCATCGGCTTCTTTCTGTTCAGCGGAGCGTGCGTTTGGTTCCAGCACATGTACGTGCTGCCTCTGTGTTCAGTGCTTCCTCGTTGCCGTGAAACTCGGCAGTTTCTTGCTCTTTAGTGTGAGCCACTGGGAAGAAGGCACCAGGGGCCAGTGTGTGCATTTGTCACACCCGAGGGAAAGCACGGAACAAGTCTGCTAATGAGGTTTTGTGTAGTGCTATTTGCCGGGAGTTAAAGACGATTGATTATAAGAGTCATTGGAAATCCCCTTTTCTGTTAGCCAACATTTTTTAGAGCAGTATTTGGTGCAGATAGTAAACCAAATCATTGTAGGATGGGGGTGTGTATAAGGGGGATTTTCATTAGCACATGTAGCTTCTGAGCACAGTGAGTAGCAGTTAAATGTTCTCCTTCCACGTGCTTTCCCACCTCACTTGCCCAAGAATCCCGACACTCACTCTAGACTTGCATCTAGTTGCTGTCTCCAGGCGTTGAACACCAATCCCCTAGGAGACGAGAAAATTAAAAGTGCCCTCCCATATGTGTGTGGAGAAGATAATCTAGTAGTATTTAAGTACATTGCTGTTAAAATGTTTTCTAATTATGCAAACAAGGCATATGTGTGACAGAATACTTGAATAATGCAGAAAATGCAAAGAAGAAAAGAAATCGCCCGGTGTTCCTCCTTTTCATATGACTTACTGGTAGTTTATGATGTGTAATCTCTCTTTTTCAGAGAGCCCTGGTGGTGGGGTGCTTGCAAGCTCTGCTGCTAACTGCAAGGTCAGCACTTTGAAACCACCAGCTGCTCCGCAGTAGAAGATGGGGCTTTCTACGCCTGTAAAGAGTTACAGCGTCAGAAACTCACATTAGCGGGTCTACCCTGACCCCTAGGGCCACTGAGTTGCCAGGGAGTTTGGCTTTTGAGTTAGTCAGTGTGTCAGGCCCCGTGATGGGCGCTGAGATGCAGGCACGAATCCTTTCACCTCGGAGGTGAAGGCCTGGATTAAACCCACTGTGCAGACAGGACTCTAGGAAGCAGGAAGGATTCCCTGTGAAGCTACAGTGCAAGCGTCCAGAG